GACAGCTAGGGGACGAGTGGCTGATCCTTATTTATGTTTATTTGCTTCGGCTATTTTATGAACATGTTGAATTGGTATTATGAACCTGTTGCATTGGTTTATGAACATGTTGAATTGCTTTCAAACTATGACGTTTTGAAAATGTTGAACTTGTGGATTGTTTTTTGAACCCTATGAGATGGTTCATTCCTATATGGACCATGTTGAATTGATTATTCATGCTGATATGCTTCGTTGAATATCATATTGATATGTTTACTTTGGGATAATGAAATCCATGTGAATAACAGGGTAATGAATCCCCGTGAGTTCAAATATGACTTGAACTATGCTGTGAAGTGATCACTAATGCCCAAGTTTATGTTGAAATCGAAAAATGAATTTTGAAAATTAAATCTTGATTTTTAGAAAGTCTGGAATTTCTTTAAAATCAAAGTAGGGCGTTACATACTATGCGACATAAAAGAGAATATAATTGATAAAGTGAGACACACTTACGTTATAAACTATGCGACACACATGTGAACATAATTTATAAAGTGCGACACAATTATCCGGCAAAAAGGCGAAGATAATTGATACAAAAAGCTATGCGACAGACAGACGAAGATAACTAAGCAAGTGCAAATTACTAATGCGATCAACAATGTGATAGACAAGCGAAGATCATTGAACAAGTGCGAAACAAATTATGTGATGAAGTGTGCTACAGACGGGTGAAGTTAATTGAGCAAGTGCGAATTACTTATGCGATCCACTATCCGACAAACATGCTCAGATAATCGAGTGAGATCTCATTATATGATAAATTACGTGACAGATAGGTGAAGATAATCAAGCTAGTGCAATATCACTATGACATAAACTACGCCACAGACAGACGAAGATAATTTATTAAGTGTGAAATATTTATGCGACAACTATGCGAAACAGAGGCGAAGAAAATTGAAAAAGTGCAAAACATTTATGTGATAAACTACACGACAGAGAGGTCAATAAGATAATCTATAAATTGCAAAATATTATGCGGTAAACTACGCGACAGAAAGGTCAAGATAATTAATAAAGTTCGAAATAAGTTATGCAATAAACTATACGACAGATTGACGAAGTAAATTGCGTAAGTGCTTAAGATGCAGAGAATTGTGTAAATATCTCGATCAATTGCAGGTCTATCGCATTTTAGTCGCAGATCAGCTTCCTGCTCCAAAGTTTCTAAGAATGGAAATCCCCAAAGCAATGAGTCGATTGATCGTGGGTCAAGCCGAACATCATGAAAACGATACGGACGATGACTTGTATGAACTGATCGAGCATAAGCTGAAACCAAGCACAAGCTCGGCTCGTTTATTACTAATAACAAGTCTTGTTCAAGCCTTAACGAACTGATCTCGAACTATAGAAAATTATATAAAATTTCTCTCTTTGAGCCTTATCGAGCCGATCCGAGCTCGGCTCGTTAATCGAACAAGCTTTAAATGAGCTCGAGCTCGGCTCATTTATCAAATTCACTGAGTCGAGCTGAGCCAGACTCGTTTAATTTAACAACACTAACTTTTACAGAAGTTATTTTGTTTTATATATTTATCTCAAAATTCAACTCAACTCAACTCTTCTGAATATTATCAATATAATTAAATAATATCAACCAATCATTTGTTTTATATCTTTAACTGAAACTTCAACTTAGCTCAACTTTCCTCAATATTATCAATATAAATTAAATAATTAATATCAATAAATCATCTTCGCGTATCACATCAACTTTAATTCACTATTCATCGATTCACATAAACTTAACTATATATCACTTTCAATAATAGTTCTACTACTTTTATATCAACTTTAATCATTATATTTAATATTATTTAATTACAAACTCAAAATCATCAACTCAATTAACGTTATTCAAAATAATTTACTTTAACCAACCAAATCCAATGAAATTATCCAAAGCCAAAGTTTTATCCATGGGGTCCTCCCTCTCTCTCTCTCTCTCTCTCTCTCTCTCACACACACACACACACACACACACCAAAAGAAAAAAAACAGGGGAGCATAACGCGACCCCCCTTCTTCTCGGTCGGCCGACCATTGTGCGCTCCTTTTCCCGACCATGGCGGCCCAGGTGTGGCGGTTCGTCTTTCGTTTCACCTGAGCAATTGGAGGGAGGTGATCTTGTTGGGTTTCTGATTACCCTTTCCCGGTCAAGGGTGGGCTGAGGGTGGAGGTGGAGGCTCTCGCCGATGATGCTAATCGGGTTAATTTCTCCCTTCCGGCTTTGAAGACCATTGGAGCCCATATTTAGATTGAGGTCTGCCTCCTTGTCATATCTGACTAAGTGCTTGAGCAAGTTCACAGTTTTGTGGCTTTGGGTCTCAGATGCCCAGTTATCTTGGGGTTTTGTGTTGTGGGGTTTGACTCGTTTGTCTGTTTGAGTGGCTGGAACGGTGTGCTCGCAAGATTTAGGGGAAGTTTTATTCTGTTGCTTATAAATGTATGTTGTATTTCTTTTTTTGATTTGTTAGTCCCCCTGATAGATTTTCGTAGTCTCATTTTCTGAGTTTGTGTAGTCTCCGTTAAAGAGTTTTTGTTTCTATGGTGCTTGTATCCACTTAGTTGTCGGTGTAATTTCAGTGAGAGTTGAATTAGACTTTTTTTTTTTTT